TCCCAGGCTGGGACCCCTGTGTTGGGAGTGAGGCTCTGAACACTGGGTTACCATGTGCCCCCCCATGCTCCTCCCCTCTGGGCTGTCCCGGCTGGGGCTGCAAAGAACCCTCTTCGCAGGCAAAGGGCTGGATCCCCACAGAAGAGCCTCATGCTGGTGCTGGCTCTGCTGCCCACCGGCTGCCTGTGTTCTTCCCATGGTGCACGCGGGCCGCTTCCTGGGATCGGGGCCCCGGGCCAGGTGCTGCACAGATATGTTCCAAAGCACTCTGTCTGCACCTCCCAGCTGAGGCTCTGAAAGCACTTTACAGAGGAGGGTCAGCATGATACACCAATGGTACAAATGGGGAAACTGAGGCACAGAGTGGGGGCAGTGACTTGCCAAAGGTCACCCAGCAGGTCAATGGCTGGGGACAGACGCCTAGTCACTCCCCACTGGCAGGGTGGATGGGTGACATGTCTCTTACTTACTTTGCAGATTTGGCATCTCCTTCCATTTGCTCCCCACTGCCGCCCCCTGCTGCTGCCCAGACGATTCCTCCGCCTCCCCCACTGCCCCACACCGAAGACACCGGCTCTGCCAACCTGCCTTCTCAGCAGCAAACCCAACCTTCTGCACCCCCTCCAGCTCCACCTCTTCCTGGGAGCGACACGCCTCCACCTGCCCCGCCCCTTCCCGGGGTGGAAATCCCACCACCTCCTCCCCTCTCGGTGGAGGGCGGCCCAGCCCCTCCTCCCCCTCCGCCCCCACCCCTGGGAATGCCAGCGGGGGAGCTCAGTGGCCCAACCGCCGCAGCCAGTTCGGGTGAGTGCAGTTTCCGGGATGCGATGGCGTGTGCAGGGTGAGAGCCAAAGCACAGCGCTGGGCAGAGGGGCCGGGGGTGCCCTGGGGAGACGGGTCCCCTGGTTATCCACAGAGCAGGAGTAGCTTGGCCACCATCATTTACACCACAAAAGGGCCAGCCAGGGGGATGGGTTTGGGTGTGAGGTGGAGACTGATCTCACCCATCACTTCACAGCCATCCCCAAACAGCCTTCAGCTGAAAATGATCTGGGGCCCCTGACCTAGCCGTGAAACCCCCTTGCCGCTTAGCCTGGTCCCTGGCCTTCTGCCAACTGGACCGGTCCATCTGCTGCCTTGCCTCTGGCGGCAAAGCCGTTCTCCAGGGAAAGGAGATTGCCCACAATGCACCTGGCCAACTGGGCCGTGCTCTCATGGCGGTGTGAAAACCCTTCCACAAGCTTTGTGATGGGGTTGGAGGAGCTGTGAGGTCCCGGTAGTCCTGGCGCCGCAGGTTGGTTCTGTGGGCGCTCACGGCACGCTCTCCAGCCCACTCCTCTCCCTCCCTCTCCTCGCTAGCCGTCAAGATCAAGAAGCCGATTCAAACCAAGTTCCGAATGCCCATCTTCAACTGGGTGGCTCTGAAACCCACCCAGATCAACGGGACCATCTTCAACGAGCTCAACGACGAGAAGGTCCTGCAGGTGAGGCTGCCTGGCCCCGGGCGGATGGGCTGAGGGTCGGAGCAGGCTCTGAGCTGCGTGGAGACTGCCCGAACGGCCTGCAGGCTGGCCTGGCAGCCTGGTGCCATGAGACTGGCGTGCTCAGCCCAGGCACAGCCCAGCCTCCTCTCCCAGCCCAGAGCGGTGAGATGGGGCAGCATAGGGAAGAGCCTCCTGCCTGCCAGCGGGCTGGGAAAGGTGGCTGGAGGAGGCTCTCAAGTGCTGGGACAGTTTCATGGACTCACCAGTAGGAAGCCGGCCCAGCCCTAGAGGAACGGGCTCCCTCCTCTCCCCGGCACCCCTCCCACTCTCCATCTCCGTCCTGCTGAATTCTGCCTCTCCGCTCCCCTCCCCGCAGGAACTGGACATGAACGACTTTGAGGAGCAGTTCAAGACGAAGGCTCAGGGCCCTAGCTTAGACATCAGCACCCTGAAGGTGAAGGCTGTTCAGAAGGCCCCTAGCAAGGTGACGCTGATCGAGTCCAACCGAGCCAAGAACCTGGCCATCACGCTCCGCAAGGGCGGCCTCAGCATCGACAGCATCTGCAAGGCCATCCAGACGTGAGTACCCCAGGGGCTGGCCGGAGGCAGGAGACGGGGGAGCTAGTGAGGAGCCCACAGCTTGGACACAACCTGGCTGCAGGGTCTGGAGCCAGGGCCTGTGGGAGGAGACGCCCAGGCGATGGTCTGGAGTGGGGGGAGGGACCCAAAGATCAGCTGAGCTGAAGTTGCTAGCTGGACGTCCGGGAGCTGACGTTGGGAGGCTGAGCGGAGGTGTAGGGCTGCGGGAAGGGGGGCCTGGCTAGGCAGGTCTGGGCATCACTGGCTAAGGCTGGCTTGGAGGTGAGGGCCTAGTGAGAGGAGCAGGGGTCAGGGGCAAGGAGCAGGGGATGCCTACAGAGAGGACAGGGAGGCCCAGCGAACGGGGCAGTGCAGGGACAGCTGGAGAGGGATGGGAGAATCTGGATGGGATGAAAGCAGAGGGAGGATGGGATTGGAAGCAGGGAGCTGTCGCCGGGGTCGAGAGGTTGAGGAGGAAGAGAATAGAGTGGAGCCCTGGCTTTTGGCTGGGAAGAGGCCATTAGACTTTGGTGAGAGCTGATTTGATGGCGTACAAGGGGCGAGAGATGGCCTGGAGCGGGTCTAAGGGCTTGTCTACGTGGGGAAACTTACTGGGTAATTGTAGCACTCGTAACTGTGCTGGTGAATTCCCTGTGATGGGATTGGAGAACTGCAGCCAGCCTTTGCAGACACTGCGTTCAAGGCGCTTGGAGAGGAGATGGGCGCTAGAGAGGCAGGGGAGTCCAGGTGCATTGTGGGGGTGAACCAGGGTTGAGGATTGACAAGGCAGACCATGTGATGAGAGAGGAGCAGAGACATCAAGGACACTGAAGCATGGAGAGAATCGAGCCACTCTGGTCAATGGGAAAAAGGGAGGAGCTGGCAGGAGGAGAGGGCTGAGGGCTGACTGGACTGCGGCACAGACGGGCCAGGTGACAGGGCAGGGGGGAACGGAGCTCAGGGCGAGCCGGGCGTGGGGAAGACCAGCTTGCAGGAGTGGCAGAGTTGATCCAGAGCCGCAGGCCCAACGGGGCGGGCAGGGCGAGGAGCTGAGCGGCGAAGGCTGTTCCCTGCGAGCGATGCTGTAGCTGCGTGTGCGATGCTGCACTGGCCTGTTTGCCTCCCTCCCCCAGGTACGACTTGAAGAGCCTGAGCCTGGATTTCCTGGAGTTGCTGCAGCGCTTCCTGCCCACCGAATATGAGCTAACGCTGATCCGCAAGTACGAGAAGGAGCAGCGGCCGCTGGAGGAGCTGTCGGACGAGGACATCTTCATGATCAAATTCAGCCAAATTCCTCGCCTCGCCGAGCGCATGAACATCATGACCTTCCTGGGCAACTTCAGCGACACCGCCCAGCCTCCAGGACTCGATGAGATCCGCGAGCAGGGGTTTGGGGACGCTGAGAAGCACCGCAGGCCTCCAAAGAAAGGCCCGGTAGCGGGAGGAGTGGGCTGGGGGATCACGGGCGTTTACTCTTCAGCAATCTGGCTTCCAATCTGCCCAATCGGGTCGGAAGACCCAGGGAACTGCCTTGGTACATCTCAAGCTAGTTCATTAGCTATCAGAGCCGCCACGTGCAGGGCTGGGGTAGCGAGGAGGGCAGCCCACCTGGACGGTGCTGCCTCAACTGAGCCATGGGGTGGGAGACCCCAGGGCCGGGGTGGCCAAGCCGGGGGAGCCCAGGGCTGGGGTGGCAGGGGCTGCAGGTGAGGACCAAGGGCCAGGGCCTTGGGATGAGTGGTGGTGGCTGTCTGGAAGCACTGGGACCGGTGTCGCGGTGCGATCAGGGTGGGTGGGGTTCCTTGTTTGGGGCAGGGCTTGGCTGGGGTGGGAGCCCAGCTCTGGTACTGTTGGGGGCTCCTTGGGGGGAATGCCTGGGGAGACTCTTGTGTGGGGTGGGGCCAGCGTGGGGGCCTTGTGCTGATGGGGGAGGGGTGGTTTGTGCTGAGCAGGAAGCAGTCTCTGCAGGCGCTTTGGACCCAGGCTGTGCCTTGCTGGCCCCTCTCACCTGCTCCTCCCTCTGTCGGCAGCAACTCAACGCCGTCATCGCCGCCTCCATGTCCCTCAAGTCCTCGACCAAGCTCCGCAACATCCTGGAGGTGAGGGGCTGGGGGCCCGACCGGAGCAGCCCCAGGGGGGAGGGGGACTCCAGTGCCTGGGCTGGGCTTGGGTCCCAGGGGCACCATTGGATTCTCTCTCCTGCGGGGCAGGGGGGATGCTCTTTAGGGGCATGGGGAGTGGGGAGGCTGGGCTGGAGGAGGAGGGCCCAGGCTTGGCTGTGGGGGAGGGTCCGGGCTAGGCTGGGCTGGGGGGCACGGTCCAGGTTTGACTGCGGGGGAGGGCCCAGGCTGGGCTCATGTCTTGGCTGCGGGGGGGGCTGGGCTGGGGGAAGGGTCCAGGCTAGCCCGGGGGGGAGGGGCTGGGCTGGAGGGGGGCTGGGCTGGGTTCAGTGTCTTATTTGGGAGAAGACTCCCCCAGGCATCCTGCAGCCGATTGGCTGGTGTCCTGAGCTGCCAGGCTGGGTATCTGGGATGAGTCTCAGTGCCTTCCTGCCCCGTGCCCAGGCCACTTCCCCGCTCCAGGGGGGTGCCCCCACTGGCTGGCTAACAGGGATGGGCACCCTGTGCCCTGGCTGCCCATGGGAACCCCAGCCTGGCAGGGCTGCCTGGCACTGCCCCTGCCTGGTGATGGTTAGCAGCCATCTCTCTGCAGATCGTCCTGGCCTTCGGGAACTACATGAACAGCAGCAAGCGCGGAGCAGCCTACGGCTTCCGGCTGCAGAGCCTCGATGCGGTAGGTTGGTGGGGAGAAGGGCTCCCCTCGGCCCGGACAGGAGTCCTGAGAGTTCCCAGGCAGCACCGGACAAGGGGGGCGGGGGTCAAGCAGCAGGTCTCGCTCTGTGGATCTCATGCTGGGGGAGTGGGGAGCTGGCATCTGTCAGCCAGGTCTGCCCCCGGTGAGGAAATCCAGCCCTAGATCAGAGGGTCTGCAAAGTCTGCTTTCGCTGCCAGAGCATGAACAGTGAGGGGAGAGCATGCCAGGGAGGGGTGCTGCTGGCTGGGTGCGGGCACTGGGGGCACTAGCAGGAGATGGACGAACCCAGTGGCAGCTGGGAACTGAAGGGAGCAGGAGGTTGGTAGGGGATGAGCGGTGCTGGCTGGTATGGGCACTGGGTGGTGGCAGCTGGGTATGGGACGGAGGGGGGCGGCTGGGTATGGGACGGGGGGAGGAGGGGGGAGGCTGGGTATGGGGCAGGGGGCGGCTGGGTATGAGGCGGGGAGGCAGAGGGTGGCGGCTGGGTATGGAGCGGAGGGGGTGGCTGGGCATGGGGCGAGAGGGCGGAGCGTGGCAGCTGGGTATGGGGTAAGGAGCGGAGGGGTTGTGGCTGGGTATGGGGTAAGGGGCGGAGGGTGGCGGCTGGGTATGGGGCGGAGGAGGGTGGTTGGGTATGAGGTGGAGGGTGGTGGCTGAGTATGGGCATGGGGGGACACTAGGGGGCAGATGGTGGCAGCTGGGTACGGGCATGTGGGGGTGGCAGGTGGCTGGGGGTGGACACCTGAGCATGGCCCCAGCCTGACTCTGCTGTCCCCCAGCTGCTGGAGATGAAGTCAACAGACCGGAAGCAGACGCTGCTGCACTACATCGGGCGGGTGATCATGGAGAAGTACCCGGAGCTGACGGGCTTCCACACCGAGCTGCACTTCCTGGACAAGGCGGGCTCAGGTAGTGGGCAGGGCTGGGCTCAGGGTGCCCGCAGGTGGGCCAGGCCCGAGCCCTGGGGAGGTGGAGCTGGGGGGCGCAGTCCCTGATCCAGGCAGGTCTGCGTGAAGCCTGTCGGAGGAGCCAGGCCCTAAAGGAAGGCCTGGGAGCTCAGGGCAGCCCTGACCCTGCAGCCCTGACGCTCTGTTCTCTGCCCGCCTAGTGTCCCTGGACAGCGTGTTGCAGGACATGAGGGCCCTGCAGCGGGGCATGGAGCTCACCCGCAAGGAGTTCATGCGGCAGGACGACAGCCAGGTGCTCAAGGACTTCCTCAAGGCCAACACCGAGGTGATGGAGAAGCTGCAGACTGACAGCAAGACCGCCCAGGTAGGTGGGTCGCCCCAGACCGGGGGGGCTGGACCGAGCCTGCCGAGGGGGGCGGGCGGGGGGCTGATGCTCTGGTGGGGGAGCTGAGCTGGGGGCGCTCTTGGCCTGGAAGGCCGGGGCCTGCTGGCGGTGCAGGGGGAGGGCTCAGGTGGGGTTGCTGGGGGGCTCTGCCTCTGGAGCAGGCTTCCAATGGGAGCACCGTTGGGCGGGGGTCAGGGGGACACTGAGGGGGGCAGGGTTGGGAAGCCGGCATTGGAGCCGCCGCACAGCGAACGTGCTGCCGTTCGGGCGTAGTGCAGCAGGCGCTCCCTAGACAGCAGAGCTCCTCGGGCCCAGCCCGCTGATGCCAGCCTGGGAGCAGGGAGATGGGAGTGGAGCCTCCAGCACCCCGGCACCTGGGGACGGCTGCACTAACGGGTCCCCCCCTGCCGGCAGGAGGCCTATGAGTCAGCTGTGGAGTACTTCGGGGAGAACCCCAAGACCAGCCCCCCCACCATGTTCTTCCCTATATTTGTGCGCTTCGTCAAGGCCTATAAGGTAAAGGGGCCCCAGGAGCCGGGGGGAGAGGCCAAGCTGCCCTGCAGCCCATGGGGCGACGCTCTGGTCGGGCCATGGCAAGAGGATGGCAGCAGCCCTGGGAATCTGCTTTGGCTGGGACTGGCCTACGCCAGCAAGGATCCCGTGGGCCCCACTGATGCCGGGCGCGTTGGCTGGGCAGACTGGATCTGGGATCCATGAGGGACGGGCACAGAGCCGCTGTAACCCTGTGGGCTCAAGCAGGGTCTGCCCAAAGACTGGCCCCGGGCCCTGCCTGCAGGGCCAATTCCAGCCAGGCTTTGCAAGCTCCCTCGCAGGCAGGAGGCGGGGTGGGTCTGCTTCCGGGGCGGTGGGGTGGAGAGCCCCAGCCCGTGTAACCAGTGCCCACACTGTTCTCCTCCCAAGAAAGTGGAGCAGGACATCGAGCTGTGGAGGAAAGAGGAAGCAGCTGCCAAAGAAGTGGAGTCCAATTCCCCCAGCAAGCCGGAGCCAAAGGTACGAGCCAAGTTGTAACCCCCAGAGCTGGGCTCTGCTTCATCCCACAGCCATGACACCAAGCACCTGTCCCATGTGCTTGTTCAGGAGCCTGGGGTGCCTTTCCCAAGAGGTGGGGTGTCAGCCCCTTGCCAGCTCCCACGTTCTGCCTCCCTAAAACGTCCCCTGGCCACTGGATTCTTCTTCACTTCCTCTCATAACCCAGAGTGTAGCATTGCGATGTGCCGGTACACAGCTGCCATGCTCCACCCCAGAGGTGGCTGCAGTTCTGTAGCGGGTGAAGTGATTCTTGTATCTGGTTTGTAAAGTGCTTTGGGGTCTCCTCCTATCGAAGAAGGAGACACTGTCTGTGAGGGGCCAGGTGGCTGAGGGCACTAACTTCTCTCTTTCCACGGTTGCTACCACAGTGTCCTGCCCCCAAGGCCAAGCGCCAGCAGATGGACATGATCGCTGAGCTGAAAAAGAAGCAGATGGTGAAGGAGCCCCTCATTTACGAGGAAGGAGATGGCGCCATTGAGGACATTATTTCAGGTAAGGGGGCACAGACCCAGAGACCAGCGGGGTCTCCCAGGTGTGGGAGGTGAACCCACGGAACTAACGCCCCATACCTTAGCCACTGGCCAAAGCCAGGGCAGCTGGTGCAGAGCGGGTTCCTGGCCAGGTGGGTACCTGCTCTGTGATGAGTTTTCTTTGGGCTCTGCGTGTCACATGACCACTAACCCCCCCGCTCCCGTTCCCACACCTTGCCAGGTGGTACACACCATTGCTGCAGCCTGCTGCCAATCACAGGGCCATGCTCCGGCCTCACTTCCCAAGGCACCATCCCCTGCTGTTCCCTGGCCTGGCTGGCAGCTC